CATTAAAAAATACTAATTAATGATTCCAGATTGTTTAGAAAAGAAAGTTTTCAAAGGCAAATAAATAGGTAATCAGAGGGGCTGCAAGAACAGAAGAAACCATTTAGGGTGCAATTTGTTCAAGTTCAGACAGAAAAAGGTCATACAACTCTCAGTATTACCTAGCGGGGTGGGAAATCTGGAAGTTGCAGTACTTCTGTCTAAACATGAACAGAATTGCACCCTTACAGTCAGAAGGTGCTTGAGGCCCAGCTATCTAAAGGACCATCAGCATCCATATATACCTACCCACCCTCTTAGATCAGCTCAGGAGACCCTTCTACAAGAAGTGACCCTCAGGGAGATGAGAGGGGTAACAACTAGGCAAAGAACCTTTTCTGCTGCTTTCCATCTTTGGAACTCCCTCTCTAGGGAAATTCGCCTGGCACCATCTTTATTTTCCTTTCAGTGCCAGGCGAAGACATACCTTTTTAGGAAATTTTTTAACACTTAGGCTGAATACTGTGGCCCTTTTCATATTGCTTTCATAGATGTTTTCATTTGTTGTGTTTTAATTGGTTTTAATGTTTTATTTTGTTAATACGTTTTATGTATTGTAAGCCGCCTAGGAAGGCCTCTGCGGTTATAGGCAGCCTATAAATACTTCTATAAATAAATAAATAAATAGATAGATAGATAGATAGAGTGAGTGAGATGAAAGGTGAAAGCATGGGTGGGTGGTGTCCATCCCAGAGTTTTTGAAGAATTCAAATATGAAAATGCTGACCGATGCTTTTCAAATTATTCATAAATGATCTGGAATTAGGACTGATGAGTAAAGTGGCCAAGTTTGCTGATGACACCAGCTTATTTAGGGCGGTTAAAACAAAAAGAGATCTCAAGGAACATCAAAAAGATCCTCTAACTAGAAGAATAGGCATCAACATGGTTAATGTAGAGCAACATAAACTCTCAGTACCTAGTTAACCTATGGAATATACTTCCACCAGATGTAGCAATGGCCACCAATCTGAACAGGTTTAAATGGAGATTAAACAAATTAATGGAGACTAAGATTATCAGTAACTAATACAGTTGCATAACATTTCCAATATCTGAAACAGTATGCCTTTGTGAACTTGGGTGAGGAGTTGCTTTGCCATGCGTGCCCTGCTTGTGGTGTTTCAGATGGTAACTGATTAGCCACCATGTGAACAGAATGTTGGACTTGGTCTGATCCGATCCAATATGGCTCTTACATTTATTTCTCTCACACGAAAACTTTAATGGTTGCATCTCTTTAGAAATCATACACCTGATGACAATTAGCTATAAGCTCAATATGTAATTCAAAGAACAATAAAAAGCTACTAACTATATCTATGTCAGAGATCCATACAACTTGGTTTCCCCCATTGCAATTTGTACAGTTCAGAATACAAGACCAGATGACCTAAAGACTCCTGATAGAAAATATCCCAGGCAATTGAAGGCAAGGGTTATAAGTTCTAAGTAAAACTGCAAAAATTTAGTCCAACCTTGAAATCTTGTTTGGTACCTCCATGCTACATAGGCCTATCAAATCCAAGATTCAAGGCACAGATTTAAGAATAAAACCAGTAAAACAACACATTCAGAGATTTTGACAACCATATCCTTCATGTTGTTGTCTCCATGCTACATGGGGCAAGGCATAGCAAAATTCAAGTGTTAGGATCAGTCCAAGCCAGCAGGCACTCTGGGCTACCAAAAATGAAGATTCAAAATCCATAGCAAACAAGAATTTGGTGACTGTGGAAACTTTCAAGTTCTTAGCCATTCACAGATGAAACAGACAATACAGATGGTACAGACTAAAACGAGGAGAGAAAATGTTTCTCTCAGCTCAAAGAGAAATCTACAAAATGGAGGGTTACAGGAAGTATATAATGGACAGTAAAAGAAGAACATTAAAGACAATGTTTCCAGCAAAGGCCCCCAAGCAGGGCTTAAATGCAGGGGTGAGGCTATACATCTCCCAGTGGTCTCAATGACATTTTGCTTAGCCCATAAACAAAACCAACACAAAACAGGATGTTCTTATTCCACTCTCTTCAGTGGCTGGTCACTCAAGCTTATGTTGCATGAACTGTCATCAAGTGCTAAACATGAATGTAACTTGAACTACTAATAGGCTACACTTTCAGTTCCATAAGTAAACTTATTTTGTTCATGAATAACTTTGTTTTTTACCATCAGAAGGAGATCATAGCTTAGAGCAAATGGTATATACTATTAGTAGATCATTATACTGCCCCATGTTACCTTTGGCTTAAGATACATTCTTTGCTGTTGTGATAGCTGTTTGTACCTTTTCTGGAGTGGTAGTTGCAGATATCCTTTCCATTTCCTCAGTGGGCTTGATAGGTTCAGCTGAATCTTCCACTTCAAATTTTGCAAGAGGTGGTGAAGGTTTCTGCTCATGGACATACAAACTCTCACCCTTTTCTTCAATAATGGATTCAGGGGAGGTAGTAATTTCTTTTTTTCTTCTTTTTGAATCTGGCGGAAGCATTTTCTCAGGGGACTTATCTAAGGTTTCTGACATTGTTTTTTTCTTTTCTTTTGTGGAATCAGACAACTCCTGTTCTTCTTGAATATGAGATAACGTTGGGGGTTCCAAAGGTGTTTCTTTCCCTATACTTTAAGATTTAAGAAATACAAATTATAAGCTAAGAAAGAAAGCAGGTGCTTTGTATTTTCTCAGTTAAATTATTTGTCTCTTTAGTTAAGTATGACAAAGCAAGCCTAAAATGATGTTGAGGAAGAGCACAGTGATAGATGTAGAGCTTCATCTGAAGCTATGTGCCAGCCAGAAGGAGAAATTTCCCTTGAGCTTCCCAGCTTGCTGGATCTTTTCATTTTAAATTCCCCCAACCTATCCACTGGAAACAGTGACCGGGAAATTAGTTATCCAGGCTCCACGTTGGCAAACAGGCAGACCAAATTAAGGGAAATGAAAGAATTTTCAATCCAACAAATCGAAACCTTTTTCTAACCATCCCCCAAACCATTCTCAGCAAGATGTTTGGGCCTTACAATTGCCACTGTTGAAAGGAATGTCATTGGCTGTAGCTTTCTGCCACCTTTGTGGACAAAGCAGAAGCAAAGCAAATAACAAAGTTCAACCTGTTCCTGGAAGCAGATGGAGGGTTAACTTTGCCAGATTCTAACCCTGTTTCACCAAGCACAATGGGGGGTAGGAGTCGGTTTGCATTCTCACCCAAGAGTTCTTAATTCTTACCAAATTGAAAATTATTATGTTTACTTTACACTTAAATTTTTGCTTTTTAATACAAATATTCAGATTACACTCACATTCATTTGAGCAATAATCTTACGTATAATTCTCTATGTTGTTCAAAAGGAATTAGAGAAACAAGAACATCTACAAAATTCCCTCATTTATTAGTTGACTAACAGAACAGAGTTCTAATATCCAGTGGCCCATTGCTCATATGTTTTTCTTAGATGCTTTAAACTTGGTTGTGCTCCATTTCCACCCGTTTCATTCCTAAATTTATTTCTTATTCCTTGTAATCACAAACCAAAACTTTTGGGGGGATCAGAATTAAGCAAATAAAACACTGGTTTCCTTGAATAATTTTCTACATTCAGTTTTAACAGTATGTTTCAGAAAGAGACTGTATAGTCTTTTAAATGTTTTGTTATCCATTTCAAACTTAACATTCCTTGTACATGGAACCACCAAATCTACCATAACAGTATCCACTATGTTTCAGTGGTAGCTTCTTCACTCCTAGCTTCAAAATGTATGTCAAAGAGAGGTGCAAGAACCACCATCATAAAAAGGATATGCATAAAACTGTATAAAGTGTTAGGTTTTTGTACAATGATGCTTCCATAAGACTACATTTGGACTGTGCAAATGTATTTATCTGTAGATCAATTTGGTAGCCATTCTGACTTAAGTGAAGTAATGGTTACAGTGTTAATACTGAAAAAGTCAAAGGCTAACCTTTCAACTTACCAAGCATGACAGTGTTGTGATATCCATGTCTGTATTGCTAAACTTTTTAAATATCCTATGCAAGAAATGGCCTATTTCATAATTATTTGTAATCCTTTCATTAATTTTAGAATAGTTTTATTATTTTGTACAAATAAAATATAATTAAGCAAGAAAATATAATGGGAATACTTTTGAATACATTCAGTCATCAATACCATGCATTACATTACAAAGGTTGCATCAATTAATATAACTTCATTTATTTACCCATCCTACATATCTTGTTATCGTAATAACTCCCTCCATTAGTGACCATAAGTCTGTGTCAGATTTAATGTTTCCTATAGCTAATCATATAAATGATAGATTGATGCCAAGTTACAAAAAGATCTTCCTTACAGTTAAGATTCCTGATTGCCTTTTTGATTTAGGTCATTTTTTCCATAAGTGTAATTTGCCAAATCCTAAGGTACCATTGTTGTAATGTCCATTTATTTATTCATTTGGGGTTCTTGTATGCCGCCCCATTCGCATAAACCTCAGGGCGGCTTCCAACAAATAAATAACAATACAAAAATATAAAAACTGGACACATCCGGCAATAAACAAAACCAATAAATAAATTAACAATTAATTAAAATAACATTTAAATAAAAAGGTCTTGGCCTGTCGCCGAAAAACAAATAACGACAGCACCAGGCGGACCTCTCTAGGGAGCGCATTCCATCAGTGGGGCTTTCCAGCTTGGTATGATTGTCATCTTGATACATGTCCCATAAGAAAGTAGCTATTGGTTTTCTAGTTTGTCATCTTCCTTATCATAGATCAAAAACATGTCCATAGCTGAAGTTCTACTATTTTGTCTGTTGCTACAAACACCTCTTGCCAAACCATTTGCATGCTAACACATGATCACTACATATAAAGAAATATAGAAGTTATAGTACAGTTCTGAAAACACATAGTATATCTGGCTTAACTTTTGTGGCATTAATCATCATCTTTAAAGAATTACAGTAAAGTTTTTTATTATTTTCATAGAGATATAATTTATCGAACTCTGTTGCCATAATATTACTGTACTGTGAATATTATTCTTCATTTCTATAAAATTTATTTATTTATTAAAACATTTTTATGCCGCCCCATTCGCCGAAGCCTCGGGGCAGCTTACAACAATAAATTAAAATAATTATAATCTTAAATTAAAAAATATATAAACATTGGATTAAAAATACAAAAATACAATATAAAATTTCAGGATATAGGTCCTGAAATATTGTATTTGACTCTCTTTAGATTCCAAGGAAAAGTTTCATCAACTGTTTACTTAAAATAGTAATTTAAAACATCATCACATATTTTTCACCATTAAATTTTCCTTAAACTGTCTAATAAACTGGTTTGAGCTCAGATTCCTATGTCCCAGAGCTTATTATTATTGTATCAGGCCTGTTAATGTCTTTTGATATTTGAAGCTGAGATTTAGGGCTTCATTAGCCAAGTTTGCAGCTTTTCTCCTATTACCCTCTGGTCTGGGCTTACTCCTGCTTTTTTTCTTTTAGCTGGCTAGCAATGTCAACCATTGAGTCAGTTGCTATTCTCAACCTCTTGTTATATTCTTCCCTAAAGGATTGGTTTGTAGCATCAAAAAAGGCAGTACATTGGCCTCACCTCCTTGTTTCATTTCAGTAGAAGTTTTGCATGCCTTTTTTGCAATAGCTTAGAATCATGGAACAGTAGAGTTGAAAGAAGTCAAGGCCAGCCCACTGCTATTGCAGCTTACCAATTTACATCATCCCACTCTGCCTGTCAGATCTGTGGCTCAAAATGCCATCTCAGTCTGATAATGTCATTACCCTCAATTGAAAATGTAACTGAAATAATTTTGGTTGTTTCAAAACCAATTGATTAATGAAGTTATCAACCATAACTGACATAGAGAAAGTGTTTCACAGAACACAATAAGCCTCTGTGGGTTGTGAAATCAAGGCTTATTGTGGCATGCAAACCCAGTGTGGATAATTTAGTGTGGCTGACCACGCATATGCCTCTCTGAGAACTGATCGCTTACTGTTAGATTGTTGAGGGTAGCTCATTTTCAAGCTGGTTTGTTGTGATTTCCAAAACTGGCACTGCTAACTTGTGCCAAGTGGCTAAAATATCTAGCATGAGTGGCAAAAAGCCAATGCAACTTCTTGTAATCTTGCCAGTGCTGCCTCTATCATCTTTCCTTCTTCAGCAGTGAGGTTCCTATACTGAAACCAAAATGGCAGTTTGTAATGCCTAAAACTCATTTACAACATTTTGTTGTTTCCCGGAGTGTACAAATGGGTTCTTTCAATAATTACTATTTTCTTCCAGTAAGAAGAAGAGCGCAAGTGTAAGAGTGCAAGTGCTCAGATTTGTCTGTCTGCTATTTACAATTTGTAGGAGTACAGTCACCTCAATTTCCAGGGAGATAACCTGCTCCACTTAAAGTTCAGCTTTGGTAGTTCACTGTTGAGTGCTGAATTGGAGTAGGTAATCTATAAGGAAATTGACAAGATGCTTATACTACTGCAAACTGTACATAGTGGACAGGTGAATCTGAGTACTCACAGACTAGCAAATGAGCTGGAAAAGTAACAACATGAAAAACAATATGAATTAATTTGTATCCTTCAGAAGCAAAAAAGATAAGAAAATCTACAAACCCAATTGTATACTTCTGAAGCACTGAAAAAGAAAAGAAAAAAGGTTGCAAACAAGAAATGGTATTTACCAGAGTTAGTACAGAGGGTCCAAGAAAATTTCCCTCTGTGGGGATAAGGATACAAGAAGAGTTCTACTGCAAAGACACTGGGTTACATACAGGCAGCAAGACAGAAGACTAAGGTAGAAACAGCCCGCAAACTGCTAAGTGCCTGAACATCTGTCAGGAGTAACATGGATTAGTGAGCAAACAATGGCTTATTTGCAGGATGCTTATCATGAAGTGTGAACCAGTTCAGTCTGTTTCTTCTATGAAGTAGGGTGTAGTTATGATAAAATGAAGGACAGATTGCTTAAATGCAACTGCAGTCCTTAGAGCACTTACCTATGTATTCACACACATAAGTTGTTGGGCCTGCAAGATGATCTGTTTCTCTGTATTTGCTTCATAAAGCTTAGCAGTAAAGACAAAAATCAAGAAACTGATCATTTCTCAAACTGAGCAAACACTGGGAGTGATCAACTCTGAGACAAATTTTCCCTCCACAATTAAGGGTATTTCTTAAATGATGCCTTGCAGGCCATAAGCTCCCTAGTTATACAACAAAACTCCATTAAAAATATAAAAAAATAAAAGAAAACCAGATAAAACAGAGGCAACAAAAGAACAAATAAAAAGAGACAATGTGTTCAGCTGGTTTGAAAAAAACTGAAATCCCTAACAATCAAATAATTTTTCTAATACCGCTGTTGCTGGAGAAAAAGCAACCAAACTGAATAGCAGAAGACATCCCCTTGAGTGTTCAGAGTGGACAGGGAGAGCAAGCTCCTGCCAAAACTTTGCTCAGTTCTAAAATGTTCCAACTGACACATTTTCATTTGGTGATCTTGTAGAACCTATTTGTGTGCATCACAAAGGCCATAACAAAGTAGTATTTCTAATGCAGTGAAAAGAATTATTCATATTCATTGGAT